CTGGCACCCAGGGCTTCACCCAGGGCCAAAGGCAGAGCAGTGGCTGAGGCCGTCGGGGTCCACGTGGCCGTTGTGTCCTGTCCTCGCCCCACAATGCAGCTCAGGGCCCTCACACCACAGCCTGGAACACCAACAAAGGATTCAGCAGCCGTAACGAAGCAGCCGAGTCCCAATGCAAATCGTGGGTGCCCCCAAGTCTGCGACGTGGAAGGCAGGCCATGATGCCAACCCCGACAAGCGCCTCCTCTACAGCCACCCGAGGTGCCCCTGTGGGGACAGTGCCTGTTTGTCTGCAAAGGACCCCGGGCCGCCTGTGCCAGCTCAGCGGTGCTGTTGGGTGAGTGCTCTTGGTGTGTGGGGCAAATTTGCTTCTGAGACTTAGACTCAGAGAGCAGAAGGCCCCAAGGCAGCCAGAGTCTATGGCCATGAAGGCAGGGGACGAGGGCGGCTGTGCTCAGGGGCAGGCCGTCGGCCTCTGGCAGCGCCCCTCCAGGCCACAAGGTGGGACAAACACAAGTGCGCCCACTGGTGGGCAGCCTGCCTGGGGTCGGAGGTTATGGGGTTGAGGCCCTCATCTTACGGGAAGGGAGAAACTGGGCAGCAGCTGGGGACCCCAGTGCCGGGGGCCGCATGGTCACTGGTGGGGTTGCTGGTGTCACTGCATGGCCTTTGATTACCCTCCAGGGGCCTCTCCATGTCCTGAGCTCTTTGAAAACGCAGATGCGAAAGGGTGTCCACCTGTGCTGGGCTACCGGCCACGAGACGGGGCCCCTCAGGCTCAGTCCCTCACAGCACCCTCCGGGCCCCAGGTGGTCAGCTCTCCCCTGGCCACCAAGGGTGGGCTCCTTTCAGAGCTGGCTGAGTCCCCTGACCCTCCAGGCACAGCGTAGACCTCTGTGCAGGGCTTGGAGCCGTCCTCGCTGCCAAGGACCTGGGTCCCTCTGCAAGCCAGGAGAGCAGGTGGGCACATCAGATGGGGGTGGGCAAGATGAGGTGGGGTCCTTGCAGAGAGCCTTTAGTGGGCTTGGGCTGGGGCTTGCAGGAGGGGCAGGTCGTCCAGGCGCGGGGAGCTGCGGCGGCTGCCTGCGGCCCTCTGCCGGGAGCAGACAGAACGCCCCTGCAGGAGCGTGGGCGGGAGCCACCGGGGCAGTGCGGTGACACACCAGCCCTGGGCAGAGCAGGATGGAAACAATGAGCGTGAGGCGCAGCAGCCCCTTACGGGAAGAGGCAAGTGCTGACTGTCCCGGTTCTTATCTGAGCCGCTGCCCTGTGCGCGGGATGGCCAGCCTCCACCGGATGCCAGGCGAGGGCTAGGGCCTCAGGCGCGCGACTGCTTGCCCGCCCTGCTTCCTCCTGCCGCGTTTTGCCTTCTTTTTGAGAATCAGTTTGAACTCAGTCTTGTGCACACTCCGAATGTGCTTGTCACCAGGTGTTCAATTTTAATGGCTGCCCCCTTGTCACTCTGACATGCCCCACCTCGGTTCCCTGGACTGAGCCAGGCCCAGCTGAGCTGGTCAGAGCAGCCTGATTCCTCGGGGAAGCCGGTGCCTCCGGGGCCAGCTCAACCTCTCACTGCGTGGGCGGCTCTGCAAACATGCTCCTGGCACTCCAGCCTACCTCCAGGAGAGGTCTCCCGCAGGTAGGGTTTGGGGCAAAGGGCAGGTGCCTCCATGGCGACAGTGTCCCGCCTCCAGCTACAAGTTCCACCAATAGGCATGGACGTGGGGTAGGCACTGTCCCTGCGGCCTCCAGGGGCTGTTTTCAGACCCTCACCACTCGGGTAGGCATATCTTTAATTTTTATTTTTCTCATTATGAGCAAATTTGAGCATGATTTCGAACTGAACATCAGTTTGAAATTTCATCGTTTAAGGGACACACATGTATGCTCACACTGCACACACATGTGGATGCACATGTGCGCATGCACACATACTGTGCACAGATGTGCACACACGTAGACACAGATGTACATCATGTGCATACACAGTTGCACACACGTCTCAATTGCGTATGCGTGCGTGAAGCTTCTTGCTGTCAGTCTTTGCTCCTCGCCGGGTGTCTGTGTGGTGGGGAGACCCTCAGGCTCCCGCTGTGGAGCCCCCATAGGCACTGTGCACACACATCTCAATTGCGTATGCGTGAAGCTTCTTGCTGTCAGTCTTTGCTCCTCGCCGGGTGTCTGTGTGGTGGGGAGACCCTCAGGCTCCCGCTGTGGAGCCCCCATAGGCACTGCCTGCACGCCATCTCGCTGCATTGAGACGAAGGCTAACTCCACACCCTCATGGGACACCCTTGCGGTTGGGTCCTGGGGCCCATTGTGTTCCCGTCCCGAGTGTCCATCTCGGGAGCCGCGTCGCTGTGTTCCTGTGTGGACATTAGAGTTCTAGAAATGTGGGTTTTCGCTGTATGGTGTCGACTGTAACAGAGCGGGAAGAGCTGGCACCTCTGTGATGCCATGGTGACCAAGAACCGTGTGTCCTGGGGACGAAGCCATGCTGAGTCCCCTCCCCCTGCGGGTTTCACACATTTCTTGTCAAGTGTGTGCCTTCGGCATTTTACTGATCTGTGGCTGCTGACGAGGGAACCTTCCCCGCCCGCTCTGCCTGGTTGCTGTTTGAATGTACGAAAGCCACGTACGTCTCTCTGGGTTTGAACGTCGTCTGCTTCTCCAGCAGGTCTCCCTGTGCCTGTGGCTATTTCCAGGGGACCCGCTGGGATCCAGGCACAGTCCGGTGCCTCCGAGGGGAACCTGCAGCTCGCCTTGCTCAGGCCCGGGTCAGGCTAGCAGGCCAGGACAAGCTCCAGGGCTGGGTGGCGGTGGGCAGCTGTGGCCCCAGAGCCGTGGGCAGGCTGGGAAGGGGTCTGTCATTGTGGTTCACAGCCGCTTGGAACCTGTGTGTCTGGTGGATTCTGTCTCTGGGGACAGCCCCATAAACAGGGAGTGGGGGAGACCCACAGGTGACAGTCCTCTGCCTGTGGGCCCCAGGCCCCTCATTCTATCTGGAACAGCTCACCACCCCAGGTGTCTGGGGTACCTGTGAACTGGAGAGCAGGACCTGGAAGCTGCAACCTCGTCTCTAGCCTCAGCCTGGCCACAACCCTGCCTAGGACCCTGCCTGCTCCCCAACACCGGCTATGGGACAGACTCCTCCAAGCATTCCTTGTTTAATTAGAATAAACTAGAACCAAAGTGGGGGGGTTCTGAATGCCGCCATCAGGACCAGGTTGAACTCTGGCTGCCTTCCCTGATGGCCAGGATGGGTAGGGGCTGGGCCTTGCCATGGTGCCCAGCCCAGGAACGCCTGTGCCACTTGACCTGCTCCTGGTGAAGCTCCTTTAAATAACATGGTGAGTGGCGCCAACCAGGGTCCCCACCTTCCCTAACCTAAATCACAGCCCAGGCGCCTGCCCTGGACCTGCCCCCAGCCAGGGGCACAGCGGAGGGGCTGCCAGCCTCGCCATTCCCTCAGACTTGGAGACCCTTGGGGCTGCAGGCCGCTGGGCAGTGAAGGGGCTTCTAGCCCTGCCTGTCCCCTGCCTCGGTCCCTGCTGCCCAGAGAGCCACATGTAGCCTGGCAGGGGTGAGGACAGGGGCTCCGGAGGGTCTCTGCAGCCAGGAGCTACCTGCCTCACTGAGGCCTCCCCAAGCCCCAGTGGGGAGCACATGGCCTCTGGAGGAGCCCCAGACCATACCCTCCCTGCCTTGGTGCCCTTGAGGGGTAGTGCAGCCTCCATGTCCAGTGTGCAACCCTGGGCCTGCTCTGAGGAGGGTCTCTATCCAGAGCCCCTCCAGGCACAAGCCCTGGGTGCAGCCGTGGCTTCAGGACAGTGGGGCTGCCTCCAGCTGCTCCACTGTGGCCGAAGGCCTGTGTGCCCATCTTCCCCTCGTGGGCCAGGGATGCCCACTGGTTTGGGCTTGAGAAGATATTGGGAGTCCTTTGAAGGCCCACCCAGCAGGGCTGCAGAGGTGGGGGCCACTTGGCCCTTGGGCCCCGTTCCGCATGCCCTCTAGTCCAAACTGCGGGGCAGGTTCTGCAGGGCACAGGCGGCCAGGTAGTTGGTCAGAAGGGCCAAGAACAGTGTCCGTCCTCAGGCCGTGGAGACCGGGGACCCAGAGGGCCATCAGCGGAGCCCCTGCGGCCTGGGCAAGGGGCCGCTGGCCTCTCAGGGAAGATGATGGTGGCATACTCTGTCTGCTCAGGGGCATCGGGGGCTGGGGGCTCTGGGGTCTTCTCTCGCCACTGGAAGTCCAGCTCTCCATAGTCCACAGTGGCCGCAGGCATGCCAGAGGGGTCCTCCTTCTTAGGGAGAGAGGGGGGAGTCAGTGCCTGGAATGGCAGCGCCTGCCCTCAAGGCCCGGCCCTCCCCCAGAGCAGGGCCTTTGCTGCCCCTCCTGGCCCCTGGACTTGGGGAGCAGCCCCTCCTCTCTGCCTCAGCCTCCCCACTAACAGGAGAGAGAAGGTCACAGGGTGGGGGCCTGGGGGGAGCCTGGTGGACACTGGTGGGAACATGTGGCGTGGGCCCCCAGTCAGCTCTCTATCTGTGCCCACCCCTCGAGGGTGGAAATGACAGATACAAGGCCTGGCACTCACCGGGGGCGAGTCCTGACTGCTGGCTCCTCTGGGCCCTGCAGAGAAGCACATCCGGAGCAAAGGTGGACACGCGACCTCCCGGCCCACTCACTGCCCACCCGTCGTGTTGGCCCAGGGCAACCACCAAGGGCCATGTGTACGCACTGCAATGCCCTGTCCTTGCATGTGGCTGCTGTATGGTACATGCGATGCACTGGTGCATGTCAGACCAGGCTGCCCCACCCCAGCACCACCACACGCACAGCCCCATAGGGGGCACAGAAATTGCTGAAGAAACGGACCCTAGGAACCGCTAGCTGGCACAGCCGCTGCCCTGTCCTGCTCAGGGTACCAGTGAGGCTGGGCCCCATGGCCCCCTGGGGCATCTCTTCTGGGAGCTCAGGACTCAGGGCCACGTGGTATGCTGGGACCACGGGCTGGGGCAGAGCTTGGTGCCTCGGGAGGGGCTTGAGAATATCAACCACAGCACGTGACCCAGCCCTGGGCCCACCACGCAGGTCAGGAAGTCCCAGTGCAGGTCAGGGGAGGAGGTCTTTATGCCCCAGGGAGGTCAGGGTGGCTGAGTGGGGTGTCCACGGGCCCTGGGGAGGCAGGGTGTGAGTGGGTGGGGGGGGGTCTCCTCAGTCCCTGGGGAGGTCAGGGTGGGTCAATGAAGGTTCTTGGGCCCCAGGGAGGTCAAGTGTGGGTGGGGAGAAATTCTCGGGCCCCAGAGAGGCCTGGGTGGTCCTCGGGCCCTGGGGAGATCAGGGTGGGTGGGAGAAATCCTTGGGCCCCAGGGAGGTCAGAGTGGGCAAGGGGTCCCCAGGGAATGTTGGGGTGTGTGTGGGAGTTCTCTAGCCCTGGGGAGGTTGGGGTGGGTGGTCCTTGGGCTCAGAAAAGTCGGGTGGGTGGGTGGAAGGAATCCTTGGGCCCTGGGGAGGTCAGGTCCTCAGGCCCTGTGGAGGTCGTGGTAGGCGGGAAGTCTTGGGCCCTGCGATGGTTGGGATTGGGGGGTTCTTGAGCCCTGAGAAGGTCAGGGTGGGCAGGGGAGTCCTTGGGGCCTGAGGAGGTCGGGGTGGGTGGGGGCCTGCCACCCTGTGGAGGTGAGGGCGGGCGGGGGGCCTGCGACACTGAGGTGGTGAGAGTGGACAGCATTTCGCACCGTCTGGCCACAGCAGGGCTCAGCCTGGGCAGCAAGGCCTCGGGCCTGGTCACTCCTGCCACCCCTGCCCTTGGACTGCTCAGAGGGGACAAGAGGGACCCGGGATGCTGGAAGCCTCTCACAGCCCTCTTTGGAGGGCTCTTTTTGGGGTGGGCAGGGAAGTTGGTGGCCTTACCTCGGGGACCACGCTCTGCCCTGAGGCAGGAGGCAGCCAGGACCCAGGCCAGCAGCAGCAGGGTGCCCACCAGGGTGCTCGTGACGCCCACTACCAGGCCTTGGGACTGGCTCTGGGGCTCCGGCGAGGGGCTAGGGTGCTCTGTGGGTGGCTCCAGGACTCTCTCTGGAGGGGCAAAGGTTGGGGGTCAGGGCCACCACAAAGTGCTCCTCGGGCCCCAGAGGCCTGGCCCCAGCCCTGCAGGCCCCAGCCTTGCCTGGGAAGGGCTCCGATGCCCGCCCCGCCCGGCCCACCTGTCACCGTGAGCTCTGCGTGGGGGCTCTCGTTGATCTTGGGGGGCAGGGAGATGGCACCACAGAGGTAGGTGCCGCTGTCGTTGCGCCGGGCGGCCACGATGCTCATGAGGAAGTCGCGCCCGCCTGGCAGCAGCGTGACATGGAAGCGGCGATCGTGGCCCGGCTGGCTGCGGTCCTCGGGGAAGGCGGCCAGCTTGTCCGTCTGGTTGCTGGGGCTCAGGCGGTACCAGTTCAGCACGAAGCGCTCGGTGGTGTTGGAGAAGCTGCAGACGAAGGTGGCGTTCTCCCCCTCAGGCACCGTGAGCTGGGCAGGGGAGAAGGTGAGGAGGCCACGGGGTGCGCCCGGCAGGTCTGGGGGCAGAGGGCGGGGAGAGGAGGGCTCAGTGGCCAGGCCTCGGTTCCTAGAGCAGGAGGGTCCCACCAGCTGGACCCCACAGTCTGCCCTCCTGGTGGGGCCTCCCTCCTGGGCTCCCCTTTAACTTTACGAAAACTGAGGGTGGGGGTCTCAGCTCTGAGTTTGGCCTGGACCCAGGGCCCTTTATTTCCTCAGAACCTTCACCCTCCCTCCGTGGTCCAGGTCGCCAGAACCCGGAGGCAGCCTGAGCCCTGCCCTGCCACTGTCGTGTCCTCGCACAGCGGGGGCAGGGAGGGCAGGGGGGCCTGAGTGGGATGGTCCCCTGGGCAGGCCGGTGCCCAGCCTTCACCCCATTTCAGTACAGGCTCAGAGCTGGGGCCGCCCAGAGTGGGCCCTGCTGCCCTGGGCAGTGGGCAGGGTGGGGCCTTTCACGTTTTTAACAAGATTCTGAGGCCTGGAGTACCAGCCTTGAGGCCAACTGGGCCATTGCTCCTGTGGGGACAGAAACAGAGGCCTGGCCTTGTGCTCCCAGGACAGGGTACCCTGGGACATACCAGGCCCTGGCTTGAGGTGCCCTGCGTGTTTGCACGTGTTCACACTCTCTAGTCGGCATCCTCCCAGGGCCCGCGGGACACAGCAGCACTCCTCCCATGGGCAAGGCTGGGCCCTGGCCAGACCCACAGGGGGCTCTACCCCCAGGAGACCCTCCAGTGGGAAGCTGCATCCACTGCCCCGACTGAGGCTCGGAAGAGGCAGAGGCGGGGCCCACAGTCATGTTGGGCCAGGCCTGTGGAACAGGCCAGTGGAACAGGCCGGATGTGGAGTGCCGTGACCAGACCTGACTCCTGCCCATCTCTGCTGGGCCCCTCGCCCGGCTGATGCCCCATGCTCTTGCTGAAGAAGGGGTCACAGACATTTGGGAGCGTCAGTTGCCTGTGGGGTGGGGAGACCAGGGAGGACCCTGAGCTGGGCTGGCTCCTCTCTCAATTCCTCGGGGGCAAAGCACTGGGGCCTCTTCTGGAGCAGCGAGTCCATTGCACATGCCATAGCCATGCCGTTTCATGCTCAGCACGCACGGCACAGCCATGGTGTCCCATGCCCACCACACAAGGCCTCTGCCATGCCGTTTCGTACCCACCACACAAGGCCTCAGCCATGCCGTTTCGTACCCACCACACAAGGCACGGCACAGCCACACAGTTCCACTCTCACCACACACAGCACAGCCACGCCATCCCATGCCTGCTGCAGGAACACACACCAGGCCGTCCTGACCCATGATGGGGATCATGCCCATTATCCGTGCCTTTGCTGCCCACAGCTTTGGCTGCTCCTGTCAGCTGTGTTCCAACCATTTTTTTTTCTGGAGAGGTTTTTTTTTTTTTTTGCTATAGGGCACGTTCGCTCGCCAGACAGAGGGAGACAGAGAGACAGAAAGCGAGAAATCACCCCCCAGGGGGGATGGCCATGCCGCAATCCCTTCTCCTCCTCCATTCTCCTCTCGGGATCTTGGGCACGCACGCACAAACGCCCAGCGTGAGTTTAAGCCACCGGGTCCAGGATGTGAACTGTGGTTGACTACGTGAGAGTCCAGTGACATAGCCATTATGCTAACTGCTGGTTCCTGTTCCAAAAATATTAAATGGGATATCCAGTAACAAATGTTTCCTCTTTTTTTTAAAAAAATATTTTGCCATAGGGTGCATGCTCTCACTGGAGAGAGAGACAGGGAGGAAACATGAGAAAGCTACCCCATAGGGAATGGTCACACCACAATCCTTCCCCCTCCATTTCTCCCTTCTTTAGGAATTTTGGCATAGTCACACATACGCCCAGGTTGATTTTTAAGCATCTGGGTCTTGGACTCAAACTGTGCAGTCGGCCGTGTGGGGTCCAGTTGCTTTAACCACCAGGCCACCGATTGGCCAGAAAGAAACAATTCCCAAATCTTGAATTGCGTGCCACCTGAGCAGTGCTGAACTCTCATGCCATCTGCTGGACCCTGCCTGGCATGCAGCAGTCTCTGTCCATGTCTCCACATACGTGTCACCTGTGCTAGTCATGCAGAAGCTGTCCTGGCATTCAGCTACAGACACACGGGGAACCACCTGTGGATCTGGGGGTCCACCAGGGCCCTGCGTGTGTCCCTGCAGACAGGGGACGGCTGTGTCATGGTACAGCTGAATGTTACTGGCATCTGACTCTTTCTCAGGGGGAGTATGGCAGAGGGCCTCAGGACCCTTCTCTGTCCCTCCCTCAGGGCTCCATCTGGAATCAGGGCTGAGTCTAAGCCTCCTCCTCTCTGGCCCCACAAGGGCTGTGTGGGCTAGTGTTAGAAACTATGGGGGACCTCACCCAGTCCCTCCCTACCTGCCCCAGGGGCCCAGAGTAGAGGCCGCAGGTAGACAGTCTGGCCCCCCGTGATGCCTCTGGCCTGTCCAGACAGCTCAGCCCACCTGGAAGCTCCAGTAAGTACTGTGTCACTCTGGTCTTCCAGCCTCCACCTCTAGGAAGCCTCCCTGGCCTCCTTCGCTGGTAGAGTGCCCTCCAAGAACCTCGGCTGTTTCCCTAACATTAAGCTAGGGAGCCTCAAAAAGCTCTTAGAAAATGAAATTAAAGTGTGAGTTTACTTTGGTGCAAAATAATTTAAAATGCAAGCATAGTTTTTTCTTTTCCTCTTCCCTGCCAGAGAGTGCATGTGCTTGCCAGATAGAGAGAGACAGAGAGAGTGGGAGAGGATGAGAGCACCCCAGGGGAGTGCTGTCTGGCTTTCCTAGCCACAAGGCCGCTGGGCTAGCCCAGGGTTTTTAATTTTTAAATTTAATTTAATTTAATTTAATTTTTTTACTAACTCCCATTTTCCATGAACGTTTTTGAAGACCTCGTGTTTGAGTTATTCCTGTGGGATTCCATAGCTGTTCCTGGGTTCCGAGGGGTGGCTCTGTCTGATCGTGGGCTCCCAGGGCGGCCCTGCCCAATCGCATATCCAGTCTCAAGAGCTGGCCACTGTGTTGACCCTGTCCACAGACCTTGGCGGCATAACCCAGCAACAAAGCTGAGGGCAGTGTGCCACATCACAGCCCAGCACCCTGGGCGACGTGTGTGCGTGCTCAAGATCCCGAGAGGAGAATGGAGAAGGGGTTGCGGCACAGCCATCCCCCAGGGGGTGATCTCTCACTTTCTGTCTCTTTGTCTCTCTTTGTCTCTCTCTGACAAGAGCATACGCATGATGGCAAACACCTTAAATGAAATGTCATGACCTACATAAATGACCCGGTCTAACTCTTGTGACCTGTCAAGCCGGTGTTAACATCCCCAAATTGCAGGTGAGGAGACAGCGATAAGGGGGGTGCCAGTGGCCACGCAGTCACAATGGCAGTTGGAACTTGAAGTTGAAGCCTAGACCCCAGGCTCCCTCGGCCACTTGGGCGGGCCTCCAACAGACGTAGCCAGATACACGCAGAGGGGCTCCCTATGTGGTGGCCACACGGCTAATCCAGAAGGAGCAAAGAGGCCCAGGGTAGAGAGCCCCCTGAAGCCAGGAGGGACCCAGTCAGGGACAGGAGGAGCAGGTGGGCGGTGCTGCTCTGACACGTGGGGAAACTGAGGCACGGTGTGCTTAAGCCTTGCTCAGGAGAGCATGAGGGCACGTGGCACAGAAGGCCGTCCCTGTCCCCACCTGGTGGTGAGCTGGCTCCTGGGAGCAGGCCTGTGTGCCAGACCCAGAGTGAGCCACAGCTCCCCATGGGGGTCTCAGGTCCTCAGGGGGCACGCGCACCCCTCCTGCCCCTGCTTCTGGGATCCCCAACAAGGCCCCTCTCAGGACACCTCTGGCGACAGATTCTGGACCGCTATGCCCAGTAGTGTCTTCCACTGAGGTTCAGGGGTGACCTGCGGCCTTCCTTGGAGAGGCACACACTGAGGAGGAGACCCAGGGCCCCGGGGAGGGTGCCTCACTCCCGTGCTATGAGCTATGAGTAGGCCCCGGGGGGCTGGGGCAGGGAGGGCCCTGCCATCAGCAACAGTGAGGGGCTACGGACAGAGGCCTTTGGGCAGGGGACAGAGTCCCCAAAAGGGGTGTTGCCTGGGCTCGGTGCTGCCAGTGGCATGGTACCCTGGCACTGCCGGCTCAGAGGACGGCCTGGGCTGGCCTCGTGTCCCTGCGAGCAGGCTGGACACAGATGGCCAAGGGCGGGCTGAGCAACCTGGCACATGCAGTGAGAAGGAGCCCCCGCCCCACTGTGGGGACAGGACTGAAGGCTCCCTAGGGACGGTCCAGACCCGGGGGTCGGGGCACAGCCTGATTTTCAGACCCACTGTGACCATGCTGAGACGCCCTGGGAACTGGACAGCCCAGAGTCTTGTCCAGAGACCCCAACTGGGCCGTACCAGGCCTGAGGCATGTTGGTCACATGTGGCCACACTTCAGATGGAACGAGACACATCACCCCTTTAATCCAACCAGCCACGTTCTGAAGTCCGGAGGGCCACGAGGGGCTGCGGTGGCCAAGAGGGGGTTCTGGTCAGCCTGGTCCTTGGGTCTCCAGTAGGGTGCTGGCTGGCCTGGCCCCTGGGTGCAGGGCCAGCTGAGGTGGGCAGCCATCCTGCCTGCCCACGAGCAAGGTAGGGACTTGTGGAGCCTGAGTGGGCGCTCCATCTCCCCAAAGCCACACAGCGCAGGCACCGGCAACGCCAGGGAGCCCTGGACTTGACCCCACCCTCGGGGCCTCCCCATCCCCCAGGGACGACCAGCACAAGCCCCGCAGCCATGTCTCCTACCTAGCAGCCGTCCTGGCCTCCAGCCCAGCTGTAGCGCGGCCCAGACCAGTGGCCAGAGCAGTCGCCAGGTCTGCGTGGTCTGCATGGCAGTGGAGTCTGTCGCTCCCGTGCCGGCTCCTCCCTCCTCTGCTGCTCTGGCAGAACTGACAGGGGAAAGGAAACTGTCCCGGGTCAGGTCGAGGGAGGGGACCGCCCCTCACCCCCGCCCCTCTTCCTCCACACCCACGTGGGTGGGGAGAGCCAGGGGAGTGTGGAGGGAGAGCAGGGGTGGGGGGGAGGAACGGAAGCCTGGGGCAGTTCGCCCTGACCCGGCAGGGTCTGCACCTGGACTGCCAGCTCCCAGGCTGGGTGGGAGGGCCTCCCCCGCCCGCCCCAAGGCCCTGCCCCTAGGAGAGGTGGCAAGGTAGCTGCCCTCCCTGGGCTCTCACAGAAGCAGGGGCCTGAGCCCTCAGCTCCCTCTGGCCCAGCATTTGAACCCTGGCTAGCCAAGCAACCCGCCACCCTCCGCATTGCCGGGGCACGTGCGCCCAGCCTCTGCCGCACTCCAGCTGCCCTCTCCAAGCCAGGGCTTGTGAGAGCACAGGTGGCCCTGCCCAAGGATGGCTGTCTGGGCCTGGTAGCAAGCCTTCGAGCTAGCCCCCACGCCAGGCTCAGGTGGCTGCATTTCTAGTCTTTCCATGCCAGCTGCCTCCTGACTGCTGGGGCACAGCTCACCCTCCGGCAGGACGTCCTTGGCTCCTGCCTGCCTGGGGGCTGGGGGTGCAGGGCCTGGTCATTCCCGAGACAGTTAGGGTATATTGTACTCTGCACCAAGTGGTTGCTGACGGTGAGTGGAAAATAGGAAAAGTGAAACTGCTGATATTAGTGATGAGATGCGTAGGCCTCATCTGCTTAAAATAACCGAGGCTCTAGCCTGCCACAGCCGGAGAGGCGCCAGCCGGGGAGCCAGCGGAAAAAGAGCATCAAAGTGTGTCTGTGAGCAGCTGGGCGCCTCGAGGCAGAGGGAGACAGCCCGTGGGTGGCAGAGAGCAGGGCAGCCTGGCGGTCCCGAGCAGGCGGGGGCTCAGGTGGCGAGATTGCGTCCTAGCTGGCTACCAGGCTGGGGGAGGGCTCTTTACTCCTGACATTCGGCCCAGGCAGCTGGGGCCCTCCTGTGGGCTCCAGGCTCTGGGTTCACTTCCTGGGCTGGAGAGGAGTGAGGGCTCAGGGGGAGTCTCTGGGATGGGAGCCCCCAGGGTCTCTTCCCCACATAGGCCCTGACCAGTTCTGCTGCTGGCCTCTGCTGCCTGCTCCTCCCTCTTCTCCCTCTCCCTCGCTCCCCCTGGAGCCCTGGCAGTGGAGGGGTGACCCATGGGGGTGGGCTCTGAGGAGTCAGGGCAGAGCCTGCGGTCTTCCTGTGCACTGCCTCCTGGGGCTGGCTCTTGAGGGGAGGGCCTGCAGGCAGGGGTGTGAGGAGCGAGCTGGCCCAGGACCAAGCCCCGAGGGGCATGAAGGGCAGGGGTCAGGCCTGGTGGCCTCATGGAGCTGCCTCCAGGATCTCACTCCTGGCCTCGCACCAACACCGTTCCCCAACACTGTGCCCAACACACATGTACAGACACGCTACCCCAGCTCACACATATGCACACACATGCTACCCCAGCTCACATACACCCTGCCTCCTGCTCAGTCTCATTCGGAGTCCCAAGTGCTGGGACCCAGCCCTTCCCTGCTGATTTCTCAGCCTGGGGCCCCTGCTTTTCCCTGTCCCCACCTCCCGACAGGGGCCACCTCCTCTCCAAATGACTAGGGTGGTTCTGGGGTGACCAGATGCAGTGCAGGGTGGTGTGAAGGGAGCAGGCAGTTCCAGAGCCAGAGCAACTAGCACCACCCATGGTGGGGCATTGCAGACTCAGGGCCTCAGCCCTGCCCTGCCCACTGGCTCCAGTGCTGCCCATGTGGCTGGGCCCTGCACCTTTGGAAGACCCGTGGGTGCTTAGGGTCTGGCGTGACTTGTGCTCATCTGGGTGTGTGGGCGGGGAGGGCTCACGTGTTCCCACACAGTGAAGCTACAGGACACTGCACCATGAGAGCCGTCCTTGCGGTCCTGTGGAAGTGGTGCTGGACCCTCCTGCAGGCAGAAGCTGTCTTGCGGCTGTGCTCTGACAGTGGCATGTCCCAGGTGGGCAGTATGCACAGCCATTGTCTGTGGGTGGGCGCCTCTCTGTCTAGCTGCTCCCTGCTGTGGTACACGGGAGCGGGTTTGTCCTGGTGACATGGGAAGGCTGTGAGGGTCCTTGGTGTGCAGCGTCGGGTGGGCCTTGGTGCTGGTGTGGGCAGCTTGGGGTCCTGGGCTCTAGGGGAGGCTGGCACCTGTTTCCTGGGGGAATGCCCACAGGGCTCTGGGCAGTGAGAGAGACCCTCTCCCTTCCCAGACAGGATCTTGCGCTCAGCGCCCTGGAGAGGTCTTCCCCTCAGCGGGTGTCAGGACTCCAAGGAAGACTCAGGAGACATCGTCTAAGGAGGAAAAGGAGTTTACTGAGAGGGCGCCTGAGGGTCTGAAGGTGGAGGTGCCTTAGCTGCCCCCTCTAGAAAAGAGGAGAGTCTTTCATGGGATGGTTGACAAGCCACCTGTAAGGCCACACATGTGGCAGACACACAGGGGCGTCAGCGTGGTGGGGCCAGCAGTCTGTACCTTGTGGGTTTGCTCCGTTTCGGGGGCTGGGCCTCCCTGAAACGTGGTGTCCTCAGTGGTTTTGGGGCCAGCGTGCCCTGACACTGGGCGCTCAGAGTTCCCAGGGCGTTAGCCTGAGGGACACGACATGTGCCCCAGCAAGGTGGTGGGCGGGGGTGGGGTGTGGGACATGGAGCTGCACAGAGGGAAGGGCCCTGGGACCCCGTGCTCTTGGGGCAGCAGCATGGATGAACACGTGAGTAAACACACGCCACACGGTCACAGCTCCATACACTGCGTCGACACATGCTGGGTATGCAGGGACACACACCTACACAGGTACCACACACAGCGTGGGTGCCAAGTAGCAGGGGTGACACCCACACCAGGGCCCAAGCTACAGCCTGGTTCACAGCGCTCTCTGAGGTTGGGGCAGGAAATGGTTAATAGTGTTTGCAAATAAAAACACTCTGTTCTACCCTGTTTTGAAACAACTCCCTGGAGTTGAAAAGAGCACCTCATTTATAGGCTCAGTGTAAGAATCGCGTTTTTAAAACCCTCACTAAGTCAGCCTGAGAAGGGGATGACAGCATTGTTCCCCCAGGCGGGTCCCAGCTGGCTCCTGCCCGTCTCAGCACTGCTTCAAAGACTACAGTGCAAGCAGGGGACTTAAATGTGAATTTACATTCAAGTCTCCCGTGTGTGTGTGTGTGTGTGTGTGTGTGTGTGTGTGTGTGTGCATGTGTAGGTGTGAATGCATGTGAATGCATGTTCATGTGTTTGCATTGTGTGTGAATGTGTATGTTCCTGTGTGTAGTGTGTGCTGTGTAGATATAATGCATGGTATGTGTGTAGGTATGTGTTCATGCATGCATAGCATGTGTTGATGTGGAGTGTGGAGCTATGAATGTGTGGTGTGTGTGTTTATTCATGTGTGAAAGTATTGTGTGTAGGTGTGTGTCCGTGTGTAAGTGTATATGTATGTCCATGTTCATTGCATGTATGAATGCATGTATGCATAGTGTGTGTAGATGTGGGTATAGTGGCATTGTGTGCAGGTGTGCACACGTGTTCATGTATGGTGTGTAGATGTGTGTATGTGTTTAGCATGTGTGTATCTATTGGTGCAGACGTGTATGTAGCTTAGTGCTCATATGTGCTGCATGTGTGTCTGTGTGATAGGTCCGAATGTGTGTGAGTGTAGGTCTGTGTTTTCATGCATTGTGTACTCTGTATTGTGAGTGTTGTAAATGAGTGTGTCTATGTGTCGTGTA